TTTGTCTAAACTGTAATGGAGAATCCGATTCCCTGTACTAAACACAGCTTGTAGCAGTGATTTGCACGTGTAGAGTGGGGATAATTAAACGTTTAATTATTCACGAGAAGATGTGAGGTCTGCGTAAGCGCCTTCCGCGGCGCTGAAACTCACTACGATTTTTTTATTAAAAATTGTGATTAAATGAAATAATAGTATGGAGTAGTTTATTAAATAAAATATTGTTTGAAAGTCCTTAACCGTTGGTTTATTCAGTCCAAATAGGTGATAGTTTGGGAAGTTGGGTTTCACCTAATCTTGTCATTTTCAGGACGGCGGCTAAGGATACACTGCTTTGCTTTTTTAAATTATAAATTTCAGTGCGTTGCGGCACGAGAACTAGTAGGGTTGGGTCTATGCCCTAAGTTTACTCCATTTTGACTTCCTCCTTCCAATAATTCACAACCATTTAATACTACTATATATACATATATTTCATTATTAAACATTTTAAGTATTTTAAAGTTTAATGATTTTTTTAAAGTAAGAACACTGGTTAACAAGGGTAGCTCATATTCACCATCCAAATATTTTTTGTAACCAAATATTTTGTAAGACTTAAAAACTAAAAGTAAATTAACAATTCTTTTATTTCAAAACTAAAAATGAATAAATATAAATCTTAGAGGGGTAACCTGAGAACAACTTAGTCTCGATCTTAATGGAATTAAGGTATTTGAAAAATAAAACGAACACAACAGCAATTAAATATAAGCTAATTAAAGTATTGTAGTTTATATAGATATCCTTAAAATAAAGCGTTTGTATTTGAAGCATTGTTGAAACTTCTGTCCGCATCTCTAAATAATAAATTGATAAAGCATTTGAAGAAAAGTTGAACGTTTTGGGTAAAGTTTGAGTATTTTGATACCACTTCATAAATTTGGTAATAATACTCTATTAAAGTTAAACTCTTGAATGAATCCAACTAAATTATAGTACAGAATTGATTATGTGCCCATCCACTCCTATTGTCAGAATTCCAGCATTAATAAAACTGTCAGTTGTATCTAAAAAAGCTTTGATAATGAAAACGAGACTGATTAGCGAAATGGATCTTGTGAAACAGGAATACTGGGCAAATGAGAAAGAACAGTTTAGTCCTGTATCGATACTAGATTGTCCATTTGTAGATGAAGAAGAGATTTACAAGCGTCGTTTCAGATCCACTTCCTCTGTTGTTTCCATCACGGAAGGTAATGTCTTTCTTTCGACAAAAAAAAATGTCATAAACTTCGATGCCATTCTTCCACTGTTTTTGTTTTTTCTTTTCTGACAAGTGAACAAAATACAGGAAGGAAACACAAGCATATGCACGAAAGATGCCATTTAGAAAGTGTGGCTTCACCGGAGCCGGTGGTTTTAGAGAAAAGGTTCGCGCGGTTAGAGGCGGGGGATGAAACACTCAAGCATTCTACAAAACAACGTTCCCGCGTAGTAGTGCCAGCAGCGCGTACTCGAAATAACTTGCGTCCTGCAAGCAATCACGACATTGAGGAGAACGCTCGAAATCTTCTCAACTTCGTTAAAGGATCAAATCCACAGAACACTTTGATACTTAAGGCAGAGAATCTGCTGTTTGATTACTTCATGAAGAGTGTTGGAGAATGTAAAGAAATTGATCTGTCAAAAAAGCTTCACCTTTGCAAGGTAGCAGAGGATTGGATAAACGGGCGACCCCAAGAACTGTATTTGGATTGGGAAGAACAAGGACGAAGGTCTGTGTATGTTAGGGAGATGGACAGATGTGAAGGGTGGAAAAACTATGATCAAGAAATACAACAATTGGGTGGGGACCTGGCAAACGAAGTCTTGACAATTCTGGTTAATGAGTCAGTGCTTGATCTTATGATACGTGCCAGCCACTGAGATAACATGCTGCCGATTACCTTTTTCCATTGTTTCTTTTTCCTTTTACATCGATTGTATTCGTCTCTTCTCCCTGTCTCGGGGATACGAGACTCTAAATTTTGGAACAATTAGGGAAAATTTTTGCTTTTACTTACCATGTTTTTCTTCCCCAATATCCTGCCTATATCGCTTTGGCTTCTAGTATTTATTAGGACTTGGGAAAAAAAATTAAATTCATCTTCTCCGAACACATGAGCTCTTATAAACTTAATTACCTATCAACATTTTGAGGACTTGTATTTTTACACAATTCTGAAAAAAAAAAACTTTAAAATACAAAATGTTGTATAGATTACTTATATGAAACCCATTAATCAACAACGCATTAAGATAAAAGAAAATAGTATTAAGTAAATGTAAAATATTTCGTGTTTTGAGTATGAGATTAACGTTAATGATTTAATTAAATTGTGTGTTTAAAGTCTGAATGTTGTCAAAAATTTTAAGTAATGCAGAATAGTGTTGCAGAAGATGTTAAAGTCAACTCAACTTTAACCGTTAGTAATTAATGTAATAGCAAATGTGAGTTACTTATCTATTTATTTAACTAGTCACTAGTTCAATGGTAAATAATGACATTTCACCTTTAAGTTGATTAACATTAATGTTAATATGCTAATTCATGACTAAGCAGTTTGATTGATGTTGACGGAATTTATTGGTAGTTTGCTAAAGGAATCAAACTATGACTGACCATCCAATCTATGGTTGATAGAATAATGTACATTTTGTATTAAGAATAATAAATTAAAATAATATTCATTACATTTTAATATTTTAGGATACTAATTGTAAAGTTTATATTCTGATTATTGATAAATATATTTTTATTTATATTTATTAGAATATTTTAATTAACTTCATCACATTAAATGTTTTTGACTTGAAAAGTTAAGTAGGTAGAAAATTGTTACAGATTCAAATAAAAGAGTAGAAACCGTATTATAAAATTAGTTATGGACAGGTTATATTGATTTCACACATTCGTACAGTTTTAGTCAGTTACTACATACCATTTCTTACTCTTAGTTTTGAGATTTTATAAATATTTTCAATACAGAAGAAACTCAAATGATAACAGAACAAGTCAAGTTGGAATGAAAATTTATCTTATCAGGTAAGGCTTGATACGGAAAATAGGCCAACTCAAACTAAAGGGCCTCCAGATATGTCTAAGCCCATAAATCAACTAAAGGTCAGTATGAATGATGGGCTCAGGACAATACTTAAAAATATGTTTTCCTTCAAGAATGTATTTTCTACTTTCTTGAACACATACTTAATACAAACAAAGTCATATTTATTTTGTATTTTTTACTTTATTTAGGTTAAAATGAGTCTAAGTTTTACATTAAAAAAATAAAAAATAAAAATAAAAATTCATTATCACCTTAAGATTTTGAGTAGTAGGCAATGTCAATTCTTTATATGGTTAAACTGAGATTTCATTGATATTGCATCATATAAAGATTAAGATCTATTAATCCATTATCTTAACATTATAAATAAGTTTCATTGATATTGTATTTTCCTAATGCATCTCTCCTTGATAAACGTGCACTTTAGTTTTGTTCAAAGATCTAAATGAGTTTTAGGAAGTAAGTTCATACTTCAAGCATTATGGCAATTCATCAATATAATTAATTTATTCGGTAACTAAATATCACTTATTCATAATTTACTCAGCTGTGGTGTCTTATAACGAGTAATATGTTCCAGAAGTTCGTTTTTCAAAAATGGTATGGTCTGATATCTAGTACTGTTGTGTTGGTGTGCATAGTTATCTACGACAACAATTACAAATGTTTTGGTCAGGTCTATCGGTTTTGAAGTCATGTTCCCGATTCATTTTGGATGCGTAATCATTTTCAATCGTAATGTGCAACGAGGAAAAAAAAAGTTTGGCATTTTGGAGATCCATAAATTATTAAAAGAATTATCATGGTGAATAAGATACTTGATAATTTAGTTATTGACTAATCCTAATAGTATGGTGTTGTTATTATTCTTGTCATTGTCTTACAGCCAGAGATCTTGCTATTATCAGTGCGTCCATGCAAGAACAAGACAAAGAATCATGTTACTGCTTGACATTCAACAGTGGTACTAAGTCATTTGATTATGTTATAGAGCCAAAAGGCATTGGCCATGTATACATGGGGAGATTTAGCAATGCTGCCAATTGGCTCAAACTAAATGCAAAGGAAGACAAGTTCCCTGTTGCTCTTTTTTTTTTCATTATTAAAGCATTAAAAAGTTTGTTGTGTACTAGAACACTAAATTATTTTCAGAACTTTTCTTGATTAAAGCGCCAAAAATTGTGTTACACTAACTGTATGTTCACTTGAATGGATTTGGAGGAGAGTGATTTAATGGATTTGAGAGGATTCAAAGGTAAATTTTTTGTTGTTTATTTGAGTGGATTTTTGAGGTAAATGAGTGTGAATTTGAAAGTAAAGTTTGTGAAAATTAGTGTAGAATTTGATTGATATGATAGATTAAAAAAATTTACTTCCAAATTCACTCTTACTTACCTCCAAAATCCACTTATAAAGAATAAAAAATTTATCTTCAAATTCTCTCAAATTCGTTCAATCACTCTCCCTAAATCCATTCAAGTAACAAAGTGTAAAAGTTGTGTTCCAATTTACATCTAAGAATTTGTTTAGCTAAATTACTAATTATCTCTAATCGAAATTCTTATTAAAGTAAATTATTAAATTATACCTTATTGGATTGAAATTCTTGACACGTAAAGTGAGCATAAGAAGATTGAAACATAATAATAATTGTTCTTAAATAACGTGTTCATAGATGAGTAAAGCTACTCCTCCACCAACTCCAAATCTAATACATATTTGTTTATATTTTGGATATGCAAAACGAATTCCAATAAACATCAACTCTACCAAATTACCTAAGTGAGTAAAAACATGTCTTCATCAAATGTTGTAAGTGAATCCCACCTGTTTCAAAATGAATTTTTTATCATGTGATTTTCCAAACCAAACTCAACAAAAACAGGTTTTAACCTTACAAGTACATGAGTCATTTTATAAAGGGCATTGAATCGCCGCAAAAATAAGATATGGTATTATTGTGCAATTAATTTCAGTAGCCCTTGCTGGCATCTCCAACCGTATTCATTTGTGTCCATTAAAGAATTTATGGTTTCTTTGTATAGAAATTATGTGAAAGCTCCTTTATTGAAGAAACTGAAAATTGAATCTCGTGAATACCATGAGTTCATCCCCACAGAAGGAATTGGTGAGATGTGTGGACCAAGTATTTCCATAAAAGCTGTCCTCAATTTATGTTTTGCTACGCCTCCAAATCCTCTTATAAAATATTATTTTATTCATTTTTATCTATAAATATATTTTAATCATTTGCTATTTATCATTGAATTTTTAAAAAATAAAGCAGTTTAATTTAATAACAAGACTTTTATCTTAATTTACGATCAATGTTAGAAAATTGGGTTTGCGAATAATCGAGTATCGTTGTTTCAATTGATTCAAAAGAAAGAATTGTTACTTTAAATATAATGTCTGCATTACGTACTTTCCAATGCTTTAAAATATTTACATACATCACTAATTCCCTGTTATTTTGTCATTATAACGTAATAAAAGTCGTTAAATGAAGTCTTGCTGTAATGACCGTAACCAACATTAAATTAAACTTGGGATCTACTAAATAATGATTCGAATTTAAGTTTTATAGAAAATACATTCAATATATATATATATATATATATATATNGGATCTTGTGAAACAGGAATACTGGGCAAATGAGAAAGAACAGTTTAGTCCTGTATCGATACTAGATTGTCCATTTGTAGATGAAGAAGAGATTTACAAGCGTCGTTTCAGATCCACTTCCTCTGTTGTTTCCATCACGGAAGGTAATGTCTTTCTTTCGACAAAAAAAAATGTCATAAACTTCGATGCCATTCTTCCACTGTTTTTGTTTTTTCTTTTCTGACAAGTGAACAAAATACAGGAAGGAAACACAAGCATATGCACGAAAGATGCCATTTAGAAAGTGTGGCTTCACCGGAGCCGGTGGTTTTAGAGAAAAGGTTCGCGCGGTTAGAGGCGGGGGATGAAACACTCAAGCATTCTACAAAACAACGTTCCCGCGTAGTAGTGCCAGCAGCGCGTACTCGAAATAACTTGCGTCCTGCAAGCAATCACGACATTGAGGAGAACGCTCGAAATCTTCTCAACTTCGTTAAAGGATCAAATCCACAGAACACTTTGATACTTAAGGCAGAGAACCTGCTGTTTGATTACTTCAAGAAGAGTGTTGGAGAATGTAAAGAAATTGATCTGTCAAAAAAGCTTCACCTTTGCAAGGTAGCAGAGGATTGGATAAACGGGCGACCCCAAGAACTGTATTTGGATTGGGAAGAACAAGGACGAAGGTCTGTGTATGTTAGGGAGATGGACAGATGTGAAGGGTGGAAAAACTATGATCAAGAAATACAACAATTGGGTGGGGACCTGGCAAACGAAGTCTTGACAATTCTGGTTAATGAGTCAGTGCTTGATCTTATGATACGTGCCAGCCACTGAGATCACATGCTGCCGATTACCTTTTTCCATTGTTTCTTTTTCCTTTTACATCGATTGTATTCGTCTCTTCTCCCTGTCTCGGGGATACGAGACTCTAAATTTTGGAACAATTAGGGAAAATTTTTGCTTTTACTTACCATGTTTTTCTTCCCCAATATCCTGCCTATATCGCTTTGGCTTCTAGTATTTATTAGGACTTGGGAAAAAAAATTAAATTCATCTTCTCCGAACACATGAGCTCTTATAAACTTAATTACCTATCAACATTTTGAGGACTTGTATTTTTACACAATTCTGAAAAAAAAAAACTTTAAAATACAAAATGTTGTATAGATTACTTATATGAAACCCATTAATCAACAACGCATTAAGATAAAAGAAAATAGTATTAAGTAAATGTAAAATATTTCGTGTTTTGAGTATGAGATTAACGTTAATGATTTAATTAAATTGTGTGTTTAAAGTCTGAATGTTGTCAAAAATTTTAAGTAATGCAGAATAGTGTTGCAGAAGATGTTAAAGTCAACTCAACTTTAACCGTTAGTAATTAATGTAATAGCAAATGTGAGTTACTTATCTATTTATTTAACTAGTCACTAGTTCAATGGTAAATAATGACATTTCACCTTTAAGTTGATTAACATTAATGTTAATATGCTAATTCATGACTAAGCAGTTTGATTGATGTTGACGGAATTTATTGGTAGTTTGCTAAAGGAATCAAACTATGACTGACCATCCAATCTATGGTTGATAGAATAATGTACATTTTGTATTAAGAATAATAAATTAAAATAATATTCATTACATTTTAATATTTTAGGATACTAATTGTAAAGTTTATATTCTGATTATTGATAAATATATTTTTATTTATATTTATTAGAATATTTTAATTAACTTCATCACATTAAATGTTTTTGACTTGAAAAGTTAAGTAGGTAGAAAATTGTTACAGATTCAAATAAAAGAGTAGAAACCGTATTATAAAATTAGTTATGGACAGGTTATATTGATTTCACACATTCGTACAGTTTTAGTCAGTTACTACATACCATTTCTTACTCTTAGTTTTGAGATTTTATAAATATTTTCAATACAGAAGAAACTCAAATGATAACAGAACAAGTCAAGTTGGAATGAAAATTTATCTTATCAGGTAAGGCTTGATACGGAAAATAGGCCAACTCAAACTAAAGGGCCTCCAGATATGTCTAAGCCCATAAATCAACTAAAGGTCAGTATGAATGATGGGCTCAGGACAATACTTAAAAATATTTTTTCCTTCAAGAATGTATTTTCTACTTTCTTGAACACATACTTAATACAAACAAAGTCATATTTATTTTGTATTTTTTACTTTATTTAGGTTAAAATGAGTCTAAGTTTTACATTAAAAAAATAAATAAAAAATAAAAATAAAAATTCATTATCACTTTAAGATTTTGAGTAGAAGACAATGCCAATTCTTTATATGGTTAAACTGAGATTTCATTGATATTGCATCATATAAAGATTAAGATCTATTAATCCATTATCTTAATATTATAAATAAGTTTCATTGATATTGTATTTTTCTAATGCATCTCTCCTTGATAAACGTGCACTTTAGTTTTGTTCAAAGATCTAAATGAGTTTTAGGAAGTAAGTTCATACTTCAAGCATTATGGCAATTCATCAATATAATTAATTTACTTGGTAACTAAATATCACTTATTCATAATTTACTCAGCTGTGTTGTCTTATAACGAGTAATATGTTCCAGAAGTTCGTTTTTCAAAAATGGTATGGTCTGATATCTAGTACTGTTGTGTTGGTGTGCATAGTTATCTACGACAACAATTACAAATGTTTTGGTCAGGTCTATCGGTTTTGAAGTCATGTTCCCGATTCATTTTGGATGCGTAATCATTTTCAATCGTAATGTGCAACCAGGAAAAAAAAGTTTGGCATTTTGGAGATCCATAAATTATTAAAAGAATTATCATGGTGAATAAGATACTTGATAATTTAGTTATTGACTAATCCTAATAGTATGGTGTTGTTATTATTCTTGTCATTGTCTTACAGCCAGAGATCTTGCTATTATCAGTGCGTCCATGCAAGAACAAGACAAAGAATCATGTTACTGCTTGACATTCAACAGTGGTACTAAGTCATTTGATTATGTTATAGAGCCAAAAGGCATTGGCCATGTATACATGGGGAGATTTAGCAATGCTGCCAATTGGCTCAAACTAAATGCAAAGGAAGACAAGTTCCCTGTTGCTCTTTTTTTTTTCATTATTAAAGCATTAAAAAGTTTGTTGTGTACTAGAACACTAAATTATTTTCAGAACTTTTCTTGATTAAAGCGCCAAAAATTGTGTTACACTAACTGTATGTTCACTTGAATGGATTTGGAGGAGAGTGATTTAATGGATTTGAGAGGATTCAAAGGTAAATTTTTTGTTGTTTATTTGAGTGGATTTTTGAGGTAAATGAGTGTGAATTTGAAAGTAAAGTTTGTGAAAATTAGTGTAGAATTTGATTGATATGATAGATTAAAAAAATTTACTTCCAAATTCACTCTTACTTACCTCCAAAATCCACTTATAAAGAATAAAAAATTTATCTTCAAATTCTCTCAAATTCGTTCAATCACTCTCCCTAAATCCATTCAAGTAACAAAGTGTAAAAGTTGTGTTCCAATTTACATCTAAGAATTTGTTTAGCTAAATTACTAATTATCTCTAATCGAAATTCTTATTAAAGTAAATTATTAAATTATACCTTATTGGATTGAAATTCTTGACACGTAAAGTGAGCATAAGAAGATTGAAACATAATAATAATTGTTCTTAAATAACGTGTTCATAGATGAGTAAAGCTACTCCTCCACCAACTCCAAATCTAATACATATTTGTTTATATTTTGGATATGCAAAACGAATTCCAATAAACATCAACTCTACCAAATTACCTAAGTGAGTAAAAACATGTCTTCATCAAATGTTGTAAGTGAATCCCACCTGTTTCAAAATGAATTTTTTATCATGTGATTTTCCAAACCAAACTCAACAAAAACAGGTTTTAACCTTACAAGTACATGAGTCATTTTATAAAGGGCATTGAATCGCCGCAAAAATAAGATATGGTATTATTGTGCAATTAATTTCAGTAGCCCTTGCTGGCATCTCCAACCGTATTCATTTGTGTCCATTAAAGAATTTATGGTTTCTTTGTATAGAAATTATGTGAAAGCTCCTTTATTGAAGAAACTGAAAATTGAATCTCGTGAATACCATGAGTTCATCCCCACAGAAGGAATTGGTGAGATGTGTGGACCAAGTATTTCCATAAAAGCTGTCCTCAATTTATGTTTTGCTACGCCTCCAAATCCTCTTATAAAATATTATTTTATTCATTTTTATCTATAAATATATTTTAATCATTTGCTATTTATCATTGAATTTTTAAAAAATAAAGCAGTTTAATTTAATAACAAGACTTTTATCTTAATTTACGATCAATGTTAGAAAATTGGGTTTGCGAATAATCGAGTATCGTTGTTTCAATTGATTCAAAAGAAAGAATTGTTACTTTAAATATAATGTCTGCATTACGTACTTTCCAATGCTTTAAAATATTTACATACATCACTAATTCCCTGTTATTTTGTCATTATAACGTAATAAAAGTCGTTAAATGAAGTCTTGCTGTAATGACCGTAACCAACATTAAATTAAACTTGGGATCTACTAAATAATGATTCGAATTTAAGTTTTATAGAAAATACATTCAATATATATATATATATATATATATAT